TTTACAAACAAAACATTTGCACAATAGTTTGGGCGTAAGTAACGGTTTTATGATGTAATGTTTGAATTTAAAAGCCATGCTCATACATACCAGTTCATGGAAGTATAAAATGAAATGTTTTCACATGTAAAAGAATTCTGAAGAGAAAGCTATTGGAAGAATGTAAATATGAAAGCATGAAGACCTCACTTTTCCAGATTTTACAAAGATATAGAAACAGGTTCTGGATAGATGTTAAACTGAAGTTTTGAAGAACTACAGCACTCTGATTAACCATTTTCGAAAGAAGGAAGTTGGAATAAAAACTTTTCTATTAAATTCTATAAATAACTACTTATATGTACCAAGGCAGTCATCAGAACTAGTCCTGCCTGATCTCAGAGTCTTCAGATTGTCTGGACATTCTGTACAGTTTCCGGCTCCTTCATCAGCTTTGTAGGTATGAAAGGGACACCTCTCACACGGCTCATAGCCTGTTGAGGAATACCTTCCAGCTGGACAGGAGGCTGCAAAAATACACGGTTACAGTCTTATTTCCCATACTGATGTATGAAATCTGATTTACTCTACCTTGAAATAACGGACTTAAGGGCCTCCGACCCTCAGCCAGGTAAGACAATTCTTAAACTTATAATTTAATTCAAAAGTCTTTAAATGAAGCTTGAAAATTAAATCTTTTCATGCAACAATTTTCATTATATGCCTCTCAATGTGCTTCAAGGTTATTTTCAAAGCTCCATAAATCACTTATAATTTCATATTTTTATCCCAATAAAATTGGTATCTTAAAATACTTGTTTTGGGATAAAAATTTCTAATTTTAATTAGACCTTTCTTAGAAGTTCAAAGAACCTTGAAGCACATTAAGAGGCATATAATGAAAATTGTTGCATGAAAAGATTTAATTTTCAAGCTTCATTTAAAGACTTTTTAAATTGAATTATAAATGAAGAGTTGTCTTACCTGGCTGAGGGTCGGAGGCCCTTAAGTTAGCATTTCAAAGGGAAAACTACACAGATTTCACTGATAAATAAGACTGTAACCGTGTATTTTTGCTGCCTCCTGTCCAGCTGGAATCTTTTTCTCTCAACAGGCTATGAGCCGTGTAATAGGTGTCCCTGCTCCTTCAAAACTTTTGTAGTGATGAAATGGAGCCGGAAACTGTACAGAATGCCTGCTGATGAATACGTTCCAGGCAGGACTAGATCTGATGACTATACTTGGTACATATAAGTAGTTATTTTAGAATTTAATAGATTTTTATTCCAACTATTCTTTCAAAATGGTTAATCAGACTGCTAAACAGCCTTCTTCAAAACTAAATTTAACATAAGAACCTGTTTCTATATCTTTGTAAAATCTGAAAAAGTGAAGTCATCATGCTTTCACGTATTTACATTCAAACAATAGCTTTCTCTTCAGAATAATTCTTTTACATGTGAAAACATTTCATTTTATACTTCCATGAACTGGTATGTATGAGCATGGCTTTTAAATTCAAACATTACATCATAAAACCGTTACTTACGCCCAAACTATTGTGCAAATGTTTTGTTTGTAAAAGAACAACAACAGGACATATTTTCTTGCAACTCATCAAATAAATTCTACTCAAATAGTGGAAAACAAAATATGATATGAATTTTTTGAAAAATCACATGGTACAATACTTCAGGTGTGCACACCGAGCAAAAAAGGCTAACATGTTTCCTGAAATATGCAAACCTGAAGTGTCATAGTTTGTGTCCTCGTGAATTGTGAAAACTTGAATTCCTTCATTTCATCAATCGTCTTATGAATTTACTTTTGGACGAAGGCTGTTTAAGTGCTATTATTGTCTGAGACATAGCTTAAGATCTTTAAGTCAAAATGCCCGACTTCTTTTACGCTGTGACTGTATATTTGTGTAGATCTCTGTCCTCCTGGAACGTATTCACTACAAAAGTTTTGAAGGAGCAGGAAACTGTACAAAATGTCCAGAGAAAAAGATAACTCTGACCAATGGCAGTAAGAGTTATTTTGACTGTCGTGGTATGTATCAGTGATATCTGTGTAGTTTTCCCTTTGAAATGCTAATTTTAGTCCATTATTTCAAGGTAGAGTAAATCAGATTTCTTACATCAGTATTGGAAATAAGACTATAACCGTGTATTTTTGCAGCCTCCTGTCCAGCTGGAAGGTATTCCTCAACAGGCTATGAGCCGTGTAATAGGTGTCCCTTTCATACCTACAAAGCTGATGAAGGAGCCGGAAACTGTACAGAATGTCCAGACAATCTGAAGACTCTGAGATCAGGCAGGACTAGTTCTGATGACTGCCTTGGTACATATAAGTAGTTATTTATAGAATTTAATAGAAAAGTTTTTATTCCAACTTCCTTCTTTCGAAAATGGTTAATCAGAGTGCTGTAGTTCTTCAAAACTTCAGTTTAACATCTATCCAGAACCTGTTTCTATATCTTTGTAAAATCTGGAAAAGTGAGGTCTTCATGCTTTCATATTTACATTCTTCCAATAGCTTTCTCTTCAGAATTCTTTTACATGTGAAAACATTTCATTTTATACTTCCATGAACTGGTATGTATGAGCATGGCTTTTAAATTCAAACATTACATCATAAAACCGTTACTTACGCCCAAACTATTGTGCAAATGTTTTGTTTGTAAAAGAACAACAACGGGACATATTTTCTTGCAACTCATCAAATAAATTCTACTCAAATGGTGGAAAACAAAATATGATATGAATTTTTTGAAAATTCACATGGTACAATACTTCAGGTGTGCACACCAAGCAAAAAAGGCTAACATGTTTCCTGAAATATGCAAACCTGAAGTGTCATAGTTTGTGTCCTCGTGAATTGTGAAAACTTGAATTCCTTCATTTCATCAATCGTCTTATGAATTTACTTTTGGACGAAGGCTGTTTAAGTGCTATTATTGTCTGAGACATAGCTTAAGATCTTTAAGTCAAAATGCCCGACTTCTTTTACGCTGTGACTGTATATTTGTGTAGATCTCTGTCCTCCTGGAACGTATTCATCAGCAGGCATTCAACCGTGTCTAGACTGTCCATTTCATCACTACAAAAGTTTTGAAGGAGCAGGAAACTGTACAAAATGTCCAGAGAAAAAGATAACTCTGACCAATGGCAGTAAGAGTTATTTTGACTGTCGTGGTATGTATCAGTGATATCTGTGTAGTTTTCCCTTTGAAATGCTAATTTAAGGGACTCCGACCCTCAGCCAGGAAGGACAACTCTTTCATTTATAATTTAATTCAAAAAGTCTTTAAATGAAGCTTGAAAATTAAATATTTTCATGCAACAATTTTATTTTCATTATATGCCTCTCAATGTGCTTCAAGGTTCTTTTCAAAGCTCCATAAATCACTTATAATTTCATATCATGTAAATAAACATTGGTATCTTAAAATACTTTTTTGGGATAAAAATTTCTAATTTTAATTAGACCTTTCTGAGAAGTACAAATAACCTTGAAGCACATTGAGAAGCATATAATGAAAATTGTTGCATGAAAAGATTAAATTTCAAGCTTCATTTAAAGACTTTTTGAATTAAATTATAAGTTTAAGAATTGTCTTACCTGGCTGAGGGTCGGAGGCCCTTAAGTCCGTTATTTCAAGGTAGAGTAAATCAGATTTCATACATCAGTATGGGAAATAAGACTATAACCGTGTATTTTTGCAGCCTCCTGTCCAGCTGGAAGGTATTCCTCAACAGGCTATGAGCCGTGTAATAGGTGTCCCTTTCATACCTACAAAGCTGATGAAGGAGCCGGAAACTGTACAGAATGTCCAGACAATCTGAAGACTCTGAGATCAGGCAGGACTAGTTCTGATGACTGCCTTGGTACATATAAGTAGTTATTTATAGAATTTAATAGAAAAGTTTTTATTCCAACTTCCTTCTTTCGAAAATGGTTAATCAGAGTGCTGTAGTTCTTCAAAACTTCAGTTTAACATCTATCCAGAACCTGTTTCTATATCTTTGTAAAATCTGGAAAAGTGAGGTCTTCATGCTTTCATATTTACATTCTTCCAATAGCTTTCTCTTCAGAATTCTTTTACATGTGAAAACATTTCATTTTATACTTCCATGAACTGGTATGTATGAGCATGGCTTTTAAATTCAAACATTACATCATAAAACCGTTACTTACGCCCAAACTATTGTGCAAATGTTTTGTTTGTAAAAGAACAACAACAGGACATATTTTCTTGCAACTCATCAAATAAATTCTACTCAAATGGTGGAAAACAAAATATGATATGAATTTTTTGAAAATTCACATGGTACAATACTTCAGGTGTGCACACCAAGCAAAAAAGGCTAACATGTTTCCTGAAATATGCAAACCTGAAGTGTCATAGTTTGTGTCCTCGTGAATTGTGAAAACTTGAATTCCTTCATTTCATCAATCGTCTTATGAATTTACTTTTGGACGAAGGCTGTTTAAGTGCTATTATTGTCTGAGACATAGCTTAAGATCTTTAAGTCAAAATGCCCGACTTCTTTTACGCTGTGACTGTATATTTGTGTAGATCTCTGTCCTCCTGGAACGTATTCATCAGCAGGCATTCAACCGTGTCTAGACTGTCCATTTCATCACTACAAAAGTTTTGAAGGAGCAGGAAACTGTACAAAATGTCCAGAGAAAAAGATAACTCTGACCAATGGCAGTAAGAGTTATTTTGACTGTCGTGGTATGTATCAGTGATATCTGTGTAGTTTTCCCTTTGAAATGCTAATTTAAGTCCGTTATTTCAAGGTAGAGTAAATCAGATTTCTTACATCAGTATGGGAAATAAGACTATAACCGTGTATTTTTGCAGCCTCCTGTCCAGCTGGAAGGTATTCCTCAACAGGCTATGAGCCGTGTAATAGGTGTCCCTTTCATACCTACAAAGCTGATGAAGGAGCCGGAAACTGTACAGAATGTCCAGACAATCTGAAGACTCTGAGATCAGGCAGGACTAGTTCTGATGACTGCCTTGGTACATATAAGTAGTTATTTATAGAATTTAATAGAAAAGTTTTTATTCCAACTTCCTTCTTTCGAAAATGGTTAATCAGAGTGCTGTAGTTCTTCAAAACTTCAGTTTAACATCTATCCAGAACCTGTTTCTATATCTTTGTAAAATCTGGAAAAGTGAGGTCTTCATGCTTTCATATTTACATTCTTCCAATAGCTTTCTCTTCAGAATTCTTTTACATGTGAAAACATTTCATTTTATACTTCCATGAACTGGTATGTATGAGCATGGCTTTTAAATTCAAACATTACATCATAAAACCGTTACTTACGCCCAAACTATTGTGCAAATGTTTTGTTTGTAAAAGAACAACAACAGGACATATTTTCTTGCAACTCATCAAATAAATTCTACTCAAATAGTGGAAAACAAAATATGATATGAATTTTTTGAAAATTCACATGGTACAATACTTCAGGTGTGCACACCAAGCAAAAAAGGCTAACATGTTTCCTGAAATATGCAAACCTGAAGTGTCATAGTTTGTGTCCTCGTGAATTGTGAAAACTTGAATTCCTTCATTTCATCAATCGTCTTATGAATTTACTTTTGGAAACATAGCTTAAGATCATTAAAATCAAAATGCCCGACTTCTTTTACGCTGTGACTGTATATTTGTGTAGATCTCTGTCCTCCTGGAACGTATTCATCAGCAGGCATTCAACCGTGTCCTTTTCATCATCAAAAGTTTTGAAGGAGCAGGAAACACAAAATGAATTTGAATTTTGAAAGTTGAAATATCTTATACCCTTTGAAGGCTAATAATTTAATTCAAAAAGTCTTTAAATGAAGCTTGAATATTTTCATGCAACAATTTTATTTTCATTATATGCCTGAAATAATGATTCATGTTGGTTTACTTTTCAATATCCTTTTTAATTAGACCTTTCTGTAGGTAACCTTTTGAAAAATTGTTGCATGCTAAAAGACTTTAATTAAATTATAAGTTTAAGAATTGTCTTACCTGGCTGAGGGTCCATCGTTATTTCAAGGTAGAGTAAATCAGTTTTCATACATCAGTATGGGAAATAAGACTATAACCGTGTATTTTGCAGCCTCCTGTCCAGCTGGAAGGTATTCCTCAAAGGCTATGAGCCGTGTAATAGGTGTCCCTTTCATACCTACAAAGCTGATGAAGGAGCCGGAAACTGTACAGAATGTCCAGACAATCTGAAGACTCTGAGATCAGGCAGGACTAGTTCTGATGACTGCCTTGGTACATATAAGTAGTTATTTATAGAATTTAATAGAAAAGTTTTTATTCCAACTTCCTTCTTTCGAAAATGGTTAATCAGAGTGCTGTAGTTCTTCAAAACTTCAGTTTAACATCTATCCAGAACCTGTTTCTATATCTTTGTAAAATCTGGAAAAGTGAGGTCTTCATGCTTTCATATTTACATTCTTCCAATAGCTTTCTCTTCAGAATTCTTTTACATGTGAAAACATTTCATTTTATACTTCCATGAACTGGTATGTATGAGCATGGCTTTTAAATTCAAACATTACATCATAAAACCGTTACTTACGCCCAAACTATTGTGCAAATGTTTTGTTTGTAAAAGAACAACAACAGGACATATTTTCTTGCAACTCATCAAATAAATTCTACTCAAATAGTGGAAAACAAAATATGATATGAATTTTTTGAAAATTCACATGGTACAATACTTCAGGTGTGCACACCAAGCAAAAAAGGCTAACATGTTTCCTGAAATATGCAAACCTGAAGTGTCATAGTTTGTGTCCTCGTGAATTGTGAAAACTTGAATTCCTTCATTTCATCAATCGTCTTATGAATTTACTTTTGGACGAAGGCTGTTTAAGTGCTATTATTGTCTGAGACATAGCTTAAGATCTTTAAGTCAAAATGCCCGACTTCTTTTACGCTGTGACTGTATATTTGTGTAGATCTCTGTCCTCCTGGAACGTATTCATCAGCAGGCATTCAACCGTGTCTAGACTGTCCATTTCATCACTACAAAAGTTTTGAAGGAGCAGGAAACTGTACAAAATGTCCAGAGAAAAAGATAACTCTGACCAATGGCAGTAAGAGTTATTTTGACTGTCGTGGTATGTATCAGTGATATCTGTGTAGTTTTCCCTTTGAAATGCTAATTTAAGGGACTCCGACCCTCAGCCAGGAAGGACAACTCTTTCATTTATAATTTAATTCAAAAAGTCTTTAAATGAAGCTTGAAAATTAAATATTTTCATGCAACAATTTTATTTTCATTATATGCCTCTCAATGTGCTTCAAGGTTCTTTTCAAAGCTCCATAAATCACTTATAATTTCATATCATGTAAATAAACATTGGTATCTTAAAATACTTTTTTGGGATAAAAATTTCTAATTTTAATTAGACCTTTCTGAGAAGTACAAATAACCTTGAAGCACATTGAGAAGCATATAATGAAAATTGTTGCATGAAAAGATTAAATTTCAAGCTTCATTTAAAGACTTTTTGAATTAAATTATAAGTTTAAGAATTGTCTTACCTGGCTGAGGGTCGGAGGCCCTTAAGTCCGTTATTTCAAGGTAGAGTAAATCAGATTTCATACATCAGTATGGGAAATAAGACTATAACCGTGTATTTTTGCAGCCTCCTGTCCAGCTGGAAGGTATTCCTCAACAGGCTATGAGCCGTGTAATAGGTGTCCCTTTCATACCTACAAAGCTGATGAAGGAGCCGGAAACTGTACAGAATGTCCAGACAATCTGAAGACTCTGAGATCAGGCAGGACTAGTTCTGATGACTGCCTTGGTACATATAAGTAGTTATTTATAGAATTTAATAGAAAAGTTTTTATTCCAACTTCCTTCTTTCGAAAATGGTTAATCAGAGTGCTGTAGTTCTTCAAAACTTCAGTTTAACATCTATCCAGAACCTGTTTCTATATCTTTGTAAAATCTGGAAAAGTGAGGTCTTCATGCTTTCATATTTACATTCTTCCAATAGCTTTCTCTTCAGAATTCTTTTACATGTGAAAACATTTCATTTTATACTTCCATGAACTGGTATGTATGAGCATGGCTTTTAAATTCAAACATTACATCATAAAACCGTTACTTACGCCCAAACTATTGTGCAAATGTTTTGTTTGTAAAAGAACAACAACGGGACATATTTTCTTGCAACTCATCAAATAAATTCTACTCAAATAGTGGAAAACAAAATATGATATGAATTTTTTGAAAATTCACATGGTACAATACTTCAGGTGTGCACACCAAGCAAAAAAGGCTAACATGTTTCCTGAAATATGCAAACCTGAAGTGTCATAGTTTGTGTCCTCGTGAATTGTGAAAACTTGAATTCCTTCATTTCATCAATCGTCTTATGAATTTACTTTTGGACGAAGGCTGTTTAAGTGCTATTATTGTCTGAGACATAGCTTAAGATCTTTAAGTCAAAATGCCCGACTTCTTTTACGCTGTGACTGTATATTTGTGTAGATCTCTGTCCTCCTGGAACGTATTCATCAGCAGGCATTCAACCGTGTCTAGACTGTCCATTTCATCACTACAAAAGTTTTGAAGGAGCAGGAAACTGTACAAAATGTCCAGAGAAAAAGATAACTCTGACCAATGGCAGTAAGAGTTATTTTGACTGTCGTGGTATGTATCAGTGATATCTGTGTAGTTTTCCCTTTGAAATGCTAATTTAAGGGACTCCGACCCTCAGCCAGGAAGGACAACTCTTTCATTTATAATTTAATTCAAAAAGTCTTTAAATGAAGCTTGAAAATTAAATATTTTCATGCAACAATTTTATTTTCATTATATGCCTCTCAATGTGCTTCAAGGTTCTTTTCAAAGCTCCATAAATCACTTATAATTTCATATCATGTAAATAAACATTGGTATCTTAAAATACTTTTTTGGGATAAAAATTTCTAATTTTAATTAGACCTTTCTGAGAAGTACAAATAACCTTGAAGCACATTGAGAAGCATATAATGAAAATTGTTGCATGAAAAGATTAAATTTCAAGCTTCATTTAAAGACTTTTTGAATTAAATTATAAGTTTAAGAATTGTCTTACCTGGCTGAGGGTCGGAGGCCCTTAAGTCCGTTATTTCAAGGTAGAGTAAATCAGATTTCATACATCAGTATGGGAAATAAGACTATAACCGTGTATTTTTGCAGCCTCCTGTCCAGCTGGAAGGTATTCCTCAACAGGCTATGAGCCGTGTAATAGGTGTCCCTTTCATACCTACAAAGCTGATGAAGGAGCCGGAAACTGTACAGAATGTCCAGACAATCTGAAGACTCTGAGATCAGGCAGGACTAGTTCTGATGACTGCCTTGGTACATATAAGTAGTTATTTATAGAATTTAATAGAAAAGTTTTTATTCCAACTTCCTTCTTTCGAAAATGGTTAATCAGAGTGCTGTAGTTCTTCAAAACTTCAGTTTAACATCTATCCAGAACCTGTTTCTATATCTTTGTAAAATCTGGAAAAGTGAGGTCTTCATGCTTTCATATTTACATTCTTCCAATAGCTTTCTCTTCAGAATTCTTTTACATGTGAAAACATTTCATTTTATACTTCCATGAACTGGTATGTATGAGCATGGCTTTTAAATTCAAACATTACATCATAAAACCGTTACTTACGCCCAAACTATTGTGCAAATGTTTTGTTTGTAAAAGAACAACAACAGGACATATTTTCTTGCAACTCATCAAATAAATTCTACTCAAATGGTGGAAAACAAAATATGATATGAATTTTTTGAAAATTCACATGGTACAATACTTCAGGTGTGCACACCAAGCAAAAAAGCCTAACATGTTTCCTGAAATATGCAAACCTGAAGTGTCATAGTTTGTGTCCTCGTGAATTGTGAAAACTTGAATTCCTTCATTTCATCAATCGTCTTATGAATTTACTTTTGGACGAAGGCTGTTTAAGTGCTATTATTGTCTGAGACATAGCTTAAGATCTTTAAGTCAAAATGCCCGACTTCTTTTACGCTGTGACTGTATATTTGTGTAGATCTCTGTCCTCCTGGAACGTATTCATCAGCAGGCATTCAACCGTGTCTAGACTGTCCATTTCATCACTACAAAAGTTTTGAAGGAGCAGGAAACTGTACAAAATGTCCAGAGAAAAAGATAACTCTGACCAATGGCAGTAAGAGTTATTTTGACTGTCGTGGTATGTATCAGTGATATCTGTGTAGTTTTCCCTTTGAAATGCTAATTTAAGTCCGTTATTTCAAGGTAGAGTAAATCAGATTTCTTACATCAGTATGGGAAATAAGACTATAACCGTGTATTTTTGCAGCCTCCTGTCCAGCTGGAAGGTATTCCTCAACAGGCTATGAGCCGTGTAATAGGTGTCCCTTTCATACCTACAAAGCTGATGAAGGAGCCGGAAACTGTACAGAATGTCCAGACAATCTGAAGACTCTGAGATCAGGCAGGACTAGTTCTGATGACTGCCTTGGTACATATAAGTAGTTATTTATAGAATTTAATAGAAAAGTTTTTATTCCAACTTCCTTCTTTCGAAAATGGTTAATCAGAGTGCTGTAGTTCTTCAAAACTTCAGTTTAACATCTATCCAGAACCTGTTTCTATATCTTTGTAAAATCTGGAAAAGTGAGGTCTTCATGCTTTCATATTTACATTCTTCCAATAGCTTTCTCTTCAGAATTCTTTTACATGTGAAAACATTTCATTTTATACTTCCATGAACTGGTATGTATGAGCATGGCTTTTAAATTCAAACATTACATCATAAAACCGTTACTTACGCCCAAACTATTGTGCAAATGTTTTGTTTGTAAAAGAACAACAACGGGACATATTTTCTTGCAACTCATCAAATAAATTCTACTCAAATAGTGGAAAACAAAATATGATATGAATTTTTTGAAAATTCACATGGTACAATACTTCAGGTGTGCACACCAAGCAAAAAAGGCTAACATGTTTCCTGAAATATGCAAACCTGAAGTGTCATAGTTTGTGTCCTCGTGAATTGTGAAAACTTGAATTCCTTCATTTCATCAATCGTCTTATGAATTTACTTTTGGACGAAGGCTGTTTAAGTGCTATTATTGTCTGAGACATAGCTTAAGATCTTTAAGTCAAAATGCCCGACTTCTTTTACGCTGTGACTGTATATTTGTGTAGATCTCTGTCCTCCTGGAACGTATTCATCAGCAGGCATTCAACCGTGTCTAGACTGTCCATTTCATCACTACAAAAGTTTTGAAGGAGCAGGAAACTGTACAAAATGTCCAGAGAAAAAGATAACTCTGACCAATGGCAGTAAGAGTTATTTTGACTGTCGTGGTATGTATCAGTGATATCTGTGTAGTTTTCCCTTTGAAATGCTAATTTAAGGGACTCCGACCCTCAGCCAGGAAGGACAACTCTTTCATTTATAATTTAATTCAAAAAGTCTTTAAATGAAGCTTGAAAATTAAATATTTTCATGCAACAATTTTATTTTCATTATATGCCTCTCAATGTGCTTCAAGGTTCTTTTCAAAGCTCCATAAATCACTTATAATTTCATATCATGTAAATAAACATTGGTATCTTAAAATACTTTTTTGGGATAAAAATTTCTAATTTTAATTAGACCTTTCTGAGAAGTACAAATAACCTTGAAGCACATTGAGAAGCATATAATGAAAATTGTTGCATGAAAAGATTAAATTTCAAGCTTCATTTAAAGACTTTTTGAATTAAATTATAAGTTTAAGAATTGTCTTACCTGGCTGAGGGTCGGAGGCCCTTAAGTCCGTTATTTCAAGGTAGAGTAAATCAGATTTCATACATCAGTATGGGAAATAAGACTATAACCGTGTATTTTTGCAGCCTCCTGTCCAGCTGGAAGGTATTCCTCAACAGGCTATGAGCCGTGTAATAGGTGTCCCTTTCATACCTACAAAGCTGATGAAGGAGCCGGAAACTGTACAGAATGTCCAGACAATCTGAAGACTCTGAGATCAGGCAGGACTAGTTCTGATGACTGCCTTGGTACATATAAGTAGTTATTTATAGAATTTAATAGAAAAGTTTTTATTCCAACTTCCTTCTTTCGAAAATGGTTAATCAGAGTGCTGTAGTTCTTCAAAACTTCAGTTTAACATCTATCCAGAACCTGTTTCTATATCTTTGTAAAATCTGGAAAAGTGAGGTCTTCATGCTTTCATATTTACATTCTTCCAATAGCTTTCTCTTCAGAATTCTTTTACATGTGAAAACATTTCATTTTATACTTCCATGAACTGGTATGTATGAGCATGGCTTTTAAATTCAAACATTACATCATAAAACCGTTACTTACGCCCAAACTATTGTGCAAATGTTTTGTTTGTAAAAGAACAACAACGGGACATATTTTCTTGCAACTCATCAAATAAATTCTACTCAAATGGTGGAAAACAAAATATGATATGAATTTTTTGAAAATTCACATGGTACAATACTTCAGGTGTGCACACCAAGCAAAAAAGGCTAACATGTTTCCTGAAATATGCAAACCTGAAGTGTCATAGTTTGTGTCCTCGTGAATTGTGAAAACTTGAATTCCTTCATTTCATCAATCGTCTTATGAATTTACTTTTGGACGAAGGCTGTTTAAGTGCTATTATTGTCTGAGACATAGCTTAAGATCTTTAAGTCAAAATGCCCGACTTCTTTTACGCTGTGACTGTATATTTGTGTAGATCTCTGTCCTCCTGGAACGTATTCATCAGCAGGCATTCAACCGTGTCTAGACTGTCCATTTCATCACTACAAAAGTTTTGAAGGAGCAGGAAACTGTACAAAATGTCCAGAGAAAAAGATAACTCTGACCAATGGCAGTAAGAGTTATTTTGACTGTCGTGGTATGTATCAGTGATATCTGTGTAGTTTTCCCTTTGAAATGCTAATTTAAGGGACTCCGACCCTCAGCCAGGAAGGACAACTCTTTCATTTATAATTTAATTCAAAAAGTCTTTAAATGAAGCTTGAAAATTAAATATTTTCATGCAACAATTTTATTTTCATTATATGCCTCTCAATGTGCTTCAAGGTTCTTTTCAAAGCTCCATAAATCACTTATAATTTCATATCATGTAAATAAACATTGGTATCTTAAAATACTTTTTTGGGATAAAAATTTCTAATTTTAATTAGACCTTTCTGAGAAGTACAAATAACCTTGAAGCACATTGAGAAGCATATAATGAAAATTGTTGCATGAAAAGATTAAATTTCAAGCTTCATTTAAAGACTTTTTGAATTAAATTATAAGTTTAAGAATTGTCTTACCTGGCTGAGGGTCGGAGGCCCTTAAGTCCGTTATTTCAAGGTAGAGTAAATCAGATTTCATACATCAGTATGGGAAATAAGACTATAACCGTGTATTTTTGCAGCCTCCTGTCCAGCTGGAAGGTATTCCTCAACAGGCTATGAGCCGTGTAATAGGTGTCCCTTTCATACCTACAAAGCTGATGAAGGAGCCGGAAACTGTACAGAATGTCCAGACAATCTGAAGACTCTGAGATCAGGCAGGACTAGTTCTGATGACTGCCTTGGTACATATAAGTAGTTATTTATAGAATTTAATAGAAAAGTTTTTATTCCAACTTCCTTCTTTCGAAAATGGTTAATCAGAGTGCTGTAGTTCTTCAAAACTTCAGTTTAACATCTATCCAGAACCTGTTTCTATATCTTTGTAAAATCTGGAAAAGTGAGGTCTTCATGCTTTCATATTTACATTCTTCCAATAGCTTTCTCTTCAGAATTCTTTTACATGTGAAAACATTTCATTTTATACTTCCATGAACTGGTATGTATGAGCATGGCTTTTAAATTCAAACATTACATCATAAAACCGTTACTTACGCCCAAACTATTGTGCAAATGTTTTGTTTGTAAAAGAACAACAACAGGACATATTTTCTTGCAACTCATCAAATAAATTCTACTCAAATGGTGGAAAACAAAATATGATATGAATTTTTTGAAAATTCACATGGTACAATACTTCAGGTGTGCACACCAAGCAAAAAAGGCTAACATGTTTCCTGAAATATGCAAACCTGAAGTGTCATAGTTTGTGTCCTCGTGAATTGTGAAAACTTGAATTCCTTCATTTCATCAATCGTCTTATGAATTTACTTTTGGACGAAGGCTGTTTAAGTGCTATTATTGTCTGAGACATAGCTTAAGATCTTTAAGTCAAAATGCCCGACTTCTTTTACGCTGTGACTGTATATTTGTGTAGATCTCTGTCCTCCTGGAACGTATTCATCAGCAGGCATTCAACCGTGTCTAGACTGTCCATTTCATCACTACAAAAGTTTTGAAGGAGCAGGAAACTGTACAAAATGTCCAGAGAAAAAGATAACTCTGACCAATGGCAGTAAGAGTTATTTTGACTGTCGTGGTATGTATCAGTGATATCTGTGTAGTTTTCCCTTTGAAATGCTAATTTAAGTCCGTTATTTCAAGGTAGAGTAAATCAGATTTCTTACATCAGTATGGGAAATAAGACTATAACCGTGTATTTTTGCAGCCTCCTGTCCAGCTGGAAGGTATTCCTCAACAGGCTATGAGCCGTGTAATAGGTGTCCCTTTCATACCTACAAAGCTGATGAAGGAGCCGGAAACTGTACAGAATGTCCAGACAATCTGAAGACTCTGAGATCAGGCAGGACTAGTTCTGATGACTGCCTTGGTACATATAAGTAGTTATTTATAGAATTTAATAGAAAAGTTTTTATTCCAACTTCCTTCTTTCGAAAATGGTTAATCAGAGTGCTGTAGTTCTTCAAAACTTCAGTTTAACATCTATCCAGAACCTGTTTCTATATCTTTGTAAAATCTGGAAAAGTGAGGTCTTCATGCTTTCATATTTACATTCTTCCAATAGCTTTCTCTTCAGAATTCTTTTACATGTGAAAACATTTCATTTTATACTTCCATGAACTGGTATGTATGAGCATGGCTTTTAAATTCAAACATTACATCATAAAACCGTTACTTACGCCCAAACTATTGTGCAAATGTTTTGTTTGTAAAAGAACAACAACGGGACATATTTTCTTGCAACTCATCAAATAAATTCTACTCAAATAGTGGAAAACAAAATATGATATGAATTTTTTGAAAATTCACATGGTACAATACTTCAGGTGTGCACACCAAGCAAAAAAGGCTAACATGTTTCCTGAAATATGCAAACCTGAAGTGTCATAGTTTGTGTCCTCGTGAATTGTGAAAACTTGAATTCCTTCATTTCATCAATCGTCTTATGAATTTACTTTTGGACGAAGGCTGTTTAAGTGCTATTATTGTCTGAGACATAGCTTAAGATCTTTAAGTCAAAATGCCCGACTTCTTTTACGCTGTGACTGTATATTTGTGTAGATCTCTGTCCTCCTGGAACGTATTCATCAGCAGGCATTCAACCGTGTCTAGACTGTCCATTTCATCACTACAAAAGTTTTGAAGGAGCAGGAAACTGTACAAAATGTCCAGAGAAAAAGATAACTCTGACCAATGGCAGTAAGAGTTATTTTGACTGTCGTGGTATGTATCAGTGATATCTGTGTAGTTTTCCCTTTGAAATGCTAATTTAAGGGACTCCGACCCTCAGCCAGGAAGGACAACTCTTTCATTTATAATTTAATTCAAAAAGTCTTTAAATGAAGCTTGAAAATTAAATATTTTCATGCAACAATTTTATTTTCATTATATGCCTCTCAATGTGCTTCAAGGTTCTTTTCAAAGCTCCATAAATCACTTATAATTTCATATCATGTAAATAAACATTGGTATCTTAAAATACTTTTTTGGGATAAAAATTTCTAATTTTAATTAGACCTTTCTGAGAAGTACAAATAACCTTGAAGCACATTGAGAAGCATATAATGAAAATTGTTGCATGAAAAGATTAAATTTCAAGCTTCATTTAAAGACTTTTTGAATTAAATTATAAGTTTAAGAATTGTCTTACCTGGCTGAGGGTCGGAGGCCCTTAAGTCCGATATTTCAAGGTAGAGTAAATCAGATTTCATACATCAGTATGGGAAATAAGACTATAACCGTGTATTTTTGCAGCCTCCTGTCCAGCTGGAAGGTATTCCTCAACAGGCTATGAGCCGTGTAATAGGTGTCCCTTTCATACCTACAAAGCTGATGAAGGAGCCGGAAACTGTACAGAATGTCCAGACAATCTGAAGACTAGATCAGGCAGGACTAGTTCTGATGACTGCCTTGGTACATATAAGTAGTTATTTATAGAATTTAATAGAAAAGTTTTTATTCCAACTTCCTTCTTTCGAAAATGGTTAATCAGAGGCTGTAGTTCTTCAAAACTTCAGTTTAACATCTATCCAGAACCTGTTTCTATATCTTTGTAAAATCTGGAAAAGTGAGGTCTTCATGCTTTCATATTTACATTCTTCCAATAGCTTTCTCTTCAGAATTCTTTTACATGTGAAAACATTTCATTTTATACTTCCATGAACTGGTATGTATGAGCATGGCTTTTAAATTCAAACATTACATCATAAAACCGTTACTTACGCCCAAACTATTGTGCAAATGTTTTGTTTGTAAAAGAACAACAACAGGACATATTTTCTTGCAACTCATCAAATAAATTCTACTCAAATGGTGGAAAACAAAATATGATATGAATTTTTTGAAAAATCACATGGTACAATACTTCAGGTGTGCACACCAAGCAAAAAAGGCTAACATGTTTCCTGAAATATGCAAACCTGAAGTGTCATAGTTTGTGTCCTCGTGAATTGTGAAAATTTTCCTTCATTTCATCAATCGTCTTATGAATTTACTTTTGGACGAAGGCTGTTTAAGTGCTATTATTGTCTGAGACATAGCTTAAGATCTTTAAGTCAAAATGCCCGACTTCTTTTACGCTGTGACTGTATATTTGTGTAGATCTCTGTCCTCCTGGAACGTATTCATCAGCAGGCATTCATTCTAGACTGTCCATTTCATCACTACAAAAGTTTTGAAGGAGCAGGAAACTGTACAAAATGTCCAGAGAAAAAGATAACTCTGACCAATGGCAGTAAGAGTTATTTTGACTGTCGTGGTATGTATCAGTGATATCTGTGTAGTTTTCCCTTTGAAATGCTAATTTAAGTCCGATTTCAAGGTAGAGTAAATCAGATTTCTTACATCAGTATGGGAAATAAGACTATAACCGTGTATTTTTGCAGCCTCCTGTCCAGCTGGAAGGTATTCCTCAACAGGCTATGAGCCGTGTAATAGGTGTCCCTTTCATACCTACAAAGCTGATGAAGGAGCCGGAAACTGTACAGAATGTCCAGACAATCTGAAGACTCTGAGATCAGGCAGGACTAGTTCTGATGACTGCCTTGGTACATATAAGTAGTTATTTATAGAATTTAATAGAAAAGTTTTTATTCCAACTTCCTTCTTTCGAAAATGGTTAATCAGAGTGCTGTAGTTCTTCAAAACTTCAGTTTAACATCTATCCAGAACCTGTTTCTATATCTTTGTAAAATCTGGAAAAGTGAGGTCTTCATGCTTTCATATTTACATTCTTCCAATAGCTTTCTCTTCAGAATTCTTTTACATGTGAAAACATTTCATTTTATACTTCCATGAACTGGTATGTATGAGCATGGCTTTTAAATTCAAACATTACATCATAAAACCGTTACTTACGCCCAAACTATTGTGCAAATGTTTTGTTTGTAAAAGAACAACAACGGGACATATTTTCTTGCAACTCATCAAATAAATTCTACTCAAATGGTGGAAAACAAAATATGATATGAATTTTTTGAAAATTCACATGGTACAATACTTCAGGTGTGCACACCAAGCAAAAAAGGCTAACATGTTTCCTGAAATATGCAAACCTGAAGTGTCATAGTTTGTGTCCTCGTGAATTGTGAAAACTTGAATTCCTTCATTTCATCAATCGTCTTATGAATTTACTTTTGGACGAAGGCTGTTTAAGTGCTATTATTGTCTGAGACATAGCTTAAGATCTTTAAGTCAAAATGCCCGACTTCTTTTACGCTGTGACTGTATATTTGTGTAGATCTCTGTCCTCCTGGAACGTATTCATCAGCAGGCATTCAACCGTGTCTAGACTGTCCATTTCATCACTACAAAAGTTTTGAAGGAGCAGGAAACTGTACAAAATGTCCAGAGAAAAAGATAACTCTGACCAATGGCAGTAAGAGTTATTTTGACTGTCGTGGTATGTATCAGTGATATCTGTGTAGTTTTCCCTTTGAAATGCTAATTTAAGGGACTCCGACCCTCAGCCAGGAAGGACAACTCTTTCATTTATAATTTAATTCAAAAAGTCTTTAAATGAAGCTTGAAAATTAAATATTTTCATGCAACAATTTTATTTTCATTATATGCCTCTCAATGTGCTTCAAGGTTCTTTTCAAAGCTCCATAAATCACTTATAATTTCATATCATGTAAATAAACATTGGTATCTTAAAATACTTTTTTGGGATAAAAATTTCTAATTTTAATTAGACCTTTCTGAGAAGTACAAATAACCTTGAAGCACATTGAGAAGCATATAATGAAAATTGTTGCATGAAAAGATTAAATTTCAAGCTTCATTTAAAGACTTTTTGAATTAAATTATAAGTTTAAGAATTGTCTTACCTGGCTGAGGGTCGGAGGCCCTTAAGTCCGTTATTTCAAGGTAGAGTAAATCAGATTTCATACATCAGTATGGGAAATAAGACTATAACCGTGTATTTTTGCAGCCTCCTGTCCAGCTGGAAGGTATTCCTCAACAGGCTATGAGCCGTGTAATAGGTGTCCCTTTCATACCTACAAAGCTGATGAAGGAGCCGGAAACTGTACAGAATGTCCAGACAATCTGAAGACTCTGAGATCAGGCAGGACTAGTTCTGATGACTGCCTTGGTACATATAAGTAGTTATTTATAGAATTTAATAGAAAAGTTTTTATTCCAACTTCCTTCTTTCGAAAATGGTTAATCAGAGTGCTGTAGTTCTTCAAAACTTCAGTTTAACATCTATCCAGAACCTGTTTCTATATCTTTGTAAAATCTGGAAAAGTGAGGTCTTCATGCTTTCATATTTACATTCTTCCAATAGCTTTCTCTTCAGAATTCTTTTACATGTGAAAACATTTCATTTTATACTTCCATGAACTGGTATGTATGAGCATGGCTTTTAAATTCAAACATTACATCATAAAACCGTTACTTACGCCCAAACTATTGTGCAAATGTTTTGTTTGTAAAAGAACAACAACGGGACATATTTTCTTGCAACTCATCAAATAAATTCTACTCAAATAGTGGAAAACAAAATATGATATGAATTTTTTGAAAATTCACATGGTACAATACTTCAGGTGTGCACACCAAGCAAAAAAGGCTAACATGTTTCCTGAAATATGCAAACCTGAAGTGTCATAGTTTGTGTCCTCGTGAATTGTGAAAACTTGAATTCCTTCATTTCATCAATCGTCTTATGAATTTACTTTTGGACGAAGGCTGTTTAAGTGCTATTATTGTCTGAGACATAGCTTAAGATCTTTAAGTCAAAATGCCCGACTTCTTTTACGCTGTGACTGTATATTTGTGTAGATCTCTGTCCTCCTGGAACGTATTCATCAGCAGGCATTCAACCGTGTCTAGACTGTCCATTTCATCACTACAAAAGTTTTGAAGGAGCAGGAAACTGTACAAAATGTCCAGAGAAAAAGATAACTCTGACCAATGGCAGTAAGAGTTATTTTGACTGTCGTGGTATGTATCAGTGATATCTGTAGTTTTCCCTTTGAAATGCTAATTTAAGGGACTCCGACCCTCAGCCAGGAAGGACAACTCTTTCATTTATAATTTAATTCAAAAAGTCTTTAAATGAAGCTTGAAAATTAAATATTTTCATGCAACAATTTTATTTTCATTATATGCCTCTCAATGTGCTTCAAGGTTCTTTTCAAAGCTCCATAAATCACTTATAATTTCATATCATGTAAATAAACATTGGTATCTTAAAATACTTTTTTGGGATAAAAATTTCTAATTTTAATTAGACCTTTCTGAGAAGTACAAATAACCTTGAAGCACATTGAGAAGCATATAATGAAAATTGTTGCATGAAAAGATTAAATTTCAAGCTTCATTTAAAGACTTTTTGAATTAAATTATAAGTTTAAGAATTGTCTTACCTGGCTGAGGGTTGGAGGCCCTTAAGTCCGTTATTTCAAGGTAGAGTAAATCAGATTTCATACATCAGTATGGGAAATAAGACTATAACCGTGTATTTTTGCAGCCTCCTGTCCAGCTGGAAGGTATTCCTCAACAGGCTATGAGCCGTGTAATAGGTGTCCCTTTCATACCTACAAAGCTGATGAAGGAGCCGGAAACTGTACAGAATGTCCAGACAATCTGAAGACTCTGAGATCAGGCAGGACTAGTTCTGATGACTGCCTTGGTACATATAAGTAGTTATTTATAGAATTTAATAGAAAAGTTTTTATTCCAACTTCCTTCTTTCGAAAATGGTTAATCAGAGTGCTGTAGTTCTTCAAAACTTCAGTTTAACATCTATCCAGAACCTGTTTCTATATCTTTGTAAAATCTGGAAAAGTGAGGTCTTCATGCTTTCATATTTACATTCTTCCAATAGCTTTCTCTTCAGAATTCTTTTACATGTGAAAACATTTCATTTTATACTTCCATGAACTGGTATGTATGAGCATGGCTTTTAAATTCAAACATTACATCATAAAACCGTTACTTACGCCCAAACTATTGTGCAAATGTTTTGTTTGTAAAAGAACAACAACAGGACATATTTTCTTGCAACTCATCAAATAAATTCTACTCAAATGGTGGAAAACAAAATATGATATGAATTTTTTGAAAATTCACATGGTACAATACTTCAGGTGTGCACACCAAGCAAAAAAGGCTAACATGTTTCCTGAAATATGCAAACCTGAAGTGTCATAGTTTGTGTCCTCGTGAATTCTGAAAACTTGAATTCCTTCATTTCATCAATCGTCTTATGAATTTACTTTTGGACGAAGGCTGTTTAAGTGCTATTATTGTCTGAGACATAGCTTAAGATCTTTAAGTCAAAATGCCCGACTTCTTTTACGCTGTGACTGTATATTTGTGTAGATATCTGTCCTCCTGGAACGCATTCATCAGCAGGCATTCAACCGTGTCTAGACTGTCCATTTCATCACTACAAAAGTTTTGAAGGAGCAGGAAACTGTACAAAATGTCCAGAGAAAAAGATAACTCTGACCAATGGCAGTAAGAGTTTTTTGACTGTCGTGGTATGTATCAGTGATATCTGTGTAGTTTTCCCTTTGAAATGCTAATTTAAGTCCGTTATTTCAAGGTAGAGTAAATCAGATTTCTTACATCAGTATGGGAAATGAGACTATAACCGTGTATTTTTGCAGCCTCCTGTCCAGCTGGAAGGTATTCCTCAACAGGCTATGAGCCGTGTAATAGGTGTCCCTTTCATACCTACAAAGCTGATGAAGGAGCCGGAAACTGTACAGAATGTCCAGACAATCTGAAGACTCTGAGATCAGGCAGGACTAGTTCTGATGACTGCCTTGGTACATATAAGTAGTTATTTATAGAATTTAATAGAAAAGTTTTTATTCCAACTTCCTTCTTTCGAAAATGGTTAATCAGAGTGCTGTAGTTCTTCAAAACTTCAGTTTAACATTTTATCCAGAACCTGTTTCTATATCTTTGTAAAATCTGGAAAAGTGAGGTCTTCATTTTCATATTTACATTCTTCCAATAGCTTTCTCTTCAGAATTCTTTTACATGTGAAAACATTTCATTTTATACTTCCATGAACTGGTATGTATGAGCATGGCTTTTAAATTCAAACATTACATCATAAAACCGTTACTTACGCCCAAACTATTGTGCAAATGTTTTGTTTGTAAAAGAACAACAACGGGACATATTTTCTTGCAACTCATCAAATAAATTCTACTCAAATAGTGGAAAACAAAATATGATATGAATTTTTTGAAAATTCACATGGTACAATACTTCAGGTGTGCACACCAAGCAGAAGAGGCTAACATGTTTACTGAAATATGCAAACCTGAAGTGTCATAGTTTGTGTCCTCGTGAATTGTGAAAACTTGAATTCCTTCAATTCATCAATCGTCTTATGAATTTACTTTTGGACGAAGGCTGTTTAAGTGCTATTATTGTCTGAGACATAGCTTAAGATCTTTAAGTCAAAATGCCCGACTTCTTTTACGCTGTGACTGTATATGTGTAGATCTGATGTCCTCCTGGAACGTATTCATCAGCAGGCATTCAACCGTGTCTAGACTGTCCATTTCATCACTACAAAAGTTTTGAAGGAAAAACTGTACAAAATGTCCAAGAAAAAGATAACTCTGACCAATGGCAGTAAGAGTTATTTTGACTGTTATGGTATGTATCAGTGATATCTGTGTAGTTTTCCCTTTGAAATGCTAATTTAAGGGATTGCACTACAGGAAATCTTTCATTTATAATTTAATTCAAAAAGTCTTTAAATGAAGCTTGAAAATTAAATATTTTCATGCAACAATTTTATTTTCATTATATGCCTCTCAATGTGCTTCAAGGTTCTTTTCAAAGCTCCATAAATCACTTATAATTTCATATCATGTCTAATAAACATTGGTATCAAAATACTTTTTTGAATAAAAATTTCTAATTTTAATTAGACCTTTCTGAGAAGTACAAATAACCTTGAAGCACATTGAAGCATATAATGAAAATTGTTGCATGAAAAGATTAAATTTCAAGCTTCATTTAAAGACTTTTTTTAAATTATAAGTTTAAGAATTGTCTTACCTGGCTGAGGGTAGGCCCTTAAGACCGTTATTTCAAGGTAGAGTAAATCAGATTTCATACATATTATGGGAAATAAGAATAACCGTTTTTTGCAGCCTTTCCAGCTGGAAGGTTTCCTCAACAGGCTATGAGCCGTGTAATATGTCCCTTTTTCCTACAAAGCTGATGAAGGACGTTACAGAATGTCCAGACAATCTGAAGACTCTGGGATCAGGCAGGACCAGTTCTGATGACTGCCTTGGTACACATAAGTAGTTATTTATAGTAGTTGATAGAAAAGTTTTTATTCCAACTTTCTTCTTTAGCAAATGGTCAATCAGAGTTCTGTAGTTCTTTAAATCTTAAGTTTAACATATATCCAGAATTTGTTTTTATATCTTTGTTGAATCTTGAAGAATAAAGTCTTCTTGCTTTCATATTAACATTTCCAATAGCTTCTCTTCAGAATCCTTGTACATGTGAAAACATTTCATTTTATACTTCTCATGAATTGGTATGTGTGAGCGTTATATCAATTTCAAACATTACATTATAAAACATTACTTCACGCCCAAACTATTGTGCAAATGTTTTTTGTTTGTAAAAGAACGACTACAGGACATAATTTGTTGCAACTCATCAAATAAATTCTACTAAAATGGTGGAAAACAAAATATGATATGAAATTTTTGAAAAGTTCACATGGTACAATACTTCAGGTCCGCACACCAAGCAAGAAAGGCTAAGGTGTTTTTCTGAAATATGCAAACCTGAAGTGTTATAGTTTGTGTCCTCGTGAATTTTTTCATTCATTTCATGAATCGTGTTTTATGAATTTACTTTTGGATGAAGGCTGTTTAAGTCCTTTTGTTGTACGAGACATAGCTGAAGATATTAAAATTAAAATGCCCGACTTCTTGTACGCTGTGATTGTATATTTGTGTAGATCTCTGTCCTCCTGGAACGTATTCATCAGCAGGCATTCAACCGTGTGTAGACTGTCCATTTCATCGCTACAAAAGTTTTGCAGGACCAGGAAACTGTACGGAATGTCCAGGGAATTGGATAACTCTGACGAATGGCAGTAAGAGCTTTTTTGACTGTCGTGGTACGTATCAATATCTGTAGTTTTCCCTTTGAAATGCTAATTTAAGGGACTCCGTCAGCCAGGAAGGACAACTCTTTCATTTATAATTTAATTCAAAAAGTCTTTAAATGAAGCTGGAAAATTAAATATTTTCATGCAACAATTTTATTTTCATTATATGTCTCAATGTGCTTTTCTTTTCAAAGTAAATAAACATTGGTATCTTAAAATACTTTTTTGGGATAAAAATTTCTAGTTAGACCTTTCTGAGAAGTACAAATAACCTTCACATTGAGAAGCATTTGAAATGCTAAATTTCTTCATTTAAAGACTTTTTGAATTAAATTATAAGTCTGAATTTTTTGGCTGAGGGTTGGAGGCCCTTAAGTCAAAGGTAGAGTAAATCAGATTTCATACATCAGTATGGAAAATAAGACTATAATCGTGTATTTTGCAGCCCCCTGTCCAGCTGGAAGGTATTCCTCAACAGGCTATGAGCCGTGTGGAAACTGTCCCTTTCATACCTACAAAGCTGATGCAGGAGCCGGAAACTGTACAGAATGTCCAGACAATCTGAAGACTCTGAGATCAGGCAGGACCAGTTCTGATGACTGCCTTGGTACATATAAGGGCTGTTTATAAATTATTGAGATAATTATATTAATTTTACTCCATAAAGGTTAATCAGAGATAATTTCAGGAAAATTCATCAACATTTTATAAAGAACCTGTTTAAAACATCTTTGTAAAATCTGGAATTTCTAATTTCTGTGATAATAACATTCTTCCAAAGTTTCTCTGAAATAATAAACATGCATATGTCTATGAACCGGAGCAGCATCACTACGTCTTTTTAACGTCACGTCAGCCAGTAATGGTTTCGCATGCAAAACGATCGGGAAGCGTTTAATCTTTACCCAAAATCTTTGTTTTTTGATTACATATAACAGTACAAAAATCAAACAATCTCTTTTCTTAAACTATTCCTTAAAAATGTTTGTGTCCGTTTGCTACCCGAGTGTAAAATTTTCATTTGTCGGGAAAGATGTTTAAAATCATGCAGTGCCGTCTGCAACACGGGTCAACATAGCTTATATCTTTACGGTCAACGTAAAATGATATTAATACCGTACGTAATAACTGATGGTCGTACGGAGCTTTTGATTTTACTCTGGTTGAATTAATTACAAAAGAAAAAATGTATACCAATGAAATAACAAATCCTAACACATTATTTTTTCTTGAAGTTATTATTTTAGCAGGTCGTTGTTTCTGGAAAAGAGTTCTACATTGCACTACACAAAATTTTAGGTATGTTCGCTGCTGCGCCCATGACCTCAAAATCCATTTTTTCGTTCTTAGCAAATTTCTCTACCGCGCTTAACTTTTTTATGATCTCCGTATTCCTGATCAAAATTCTATCAAAGTTGCACAAAATGAATTTGAATTAAAGTTGAAAAATTATACAAATAAACAGAATTATTTTCGCTCTTATTGTGGATGCACGAAGAGTTTGAACGTTGGTGTCACATATTTTCAATATCCGATTTCGAGACTGCTCCGGGTACCCCTACTGATGACGCATTTATTTACCATCGTACAGAAAATATTAAATATTTGTAAAATATTTTTTGCTTTTATTATTTCTTAATGTATGTCAAACGTATATGCAATTTTTCACCGAAAGACGTTCATTAGAAAGCAAAATATACACAATGTCTCAATAATTTTCGAACAGCCCTCGTATAAGTAGTTATTTATAGTAGTTGATAGAAAAGTTTTTATTCCAACTTTCTTCTTTAGCAAATGGTCAATCAGAGTTCTGTAGTTCTTTAAAACTTCAGTTTAACATATATCAGAACTTGTTTCTGTATCTTTTTAAAATCTGGAAGAATGAAGTCTTCTTGCTTTCATATTTACATTTCCAATAGCTTTCTCTTTAGAATCCTTGAACATGTGAAAATATCTTACTTCATACTCTCATGAATTGGTATGTGTGAGCGTGTATATCAATTTCAAACATTACATTATGATACATTACTTCACGCCCAAGCTATTGTGCAAATGTTTTTTGTTTGTAAAAGAACGGCTACAGGACATAATTTGTTGCAACTCATCAAATAAATTCTACTAAAATGGTGGAAAACAAAATATGATATGAAATTTCGAAAAGTTCACATGGTACAATACTTCAGGTCCGCACACCAAGCAAGAAAGGCTAAGGTGTTTTTCTGAAATATGCAAACCTGAAGTGTTATAGTTTGTGTCCTCGTGAATTTTTTCATTCATTTCATGAATCGTGTTATGAATTTACTTTTGGATGAAGGCTGTTTAAGTCCTTTTGTTGTACTAGACATAGCTGAAGATATTAAAATTAAAATGCCCGACTTCTTGTACGCTGTGATTGTATATTTGTGTAGATCTCTGTCCTCCTGGAACGTATTCATCAGCAGGCATTCAACCGTGTGTAGACTGTCCATTTCATCGCTACAAAAGTTTTGCAGCCAGGAAACTGTACAGAATGTCCAGGGAATTGGATAACTCTGACGAATGGCAGTAAGAGCTTTTTTGACTGTCGTGGTACGTATAAGTAGTATTTGTGTAGTTTTCCCTTTGAAATGCTAACTTAAGTCTGTTTTTTTTCAAAGGTAGAGTAAATCAGATTTCATACATCAGTCTGGAAAATAAGACTATAATCGTGTATTTTGCAGCCCCCTGTTCAGCTGGAAGGTATTCCTCAACAGGCTATGAGCCGTGTGGAAACTGTCCCTATCATACCTACAAAGCTGATGCAGGAGCCGGAAACTGTACAGAATGTCCAGACAATCTGAAGACTCTGGGATCAGGCAGGACCAGTTCTGATGACTGCCTTGGTACATACGAGGGCTGTTCGGAAATTATTGAGATAATTATATTAATTTTACTCCATGAAGGACGGAGATAATTTCAGGAAAATTCATCAACATTTTATAAAGAACGAATAAAACACTTAAGCAAAATTTCTAATTTCTGTGATAATAAGAAAGTTTCGGTGAAATAATAAACATGCATATGTCTATCGACCCGGAGCAGCATCACTACGTCTTTTTAACGTCACGTCAGCCAGTAATGGTTTCGCATGCAAAACGATCGGGAAGCGTTTAATCTTTACCCTTCTTTGTTATTACATATAACAGTACAAAAATCAAACAATCTCTTTTCTTAAACTATTCCTTAAAAATGTTTGCCGTTTGCTACCCGAGTGTAAAATTTTCATTTGTCGGGAAAGATGACTTAAAATCATGCAGTGCCGATTTATGCAACACGGGTCAACGATATTAATACCGTAATGATATTAATACCGTACGTAATAACTGATGGTCGTCCAGAGATTTTGATTTTACTCTGGTTGAATTAATTCAAAGAAAAAATGTATACCAATGAAATAACAAATCCTAACACATTATTTTTTCTTGAAGTTATTATTTTAGCAGGTCGTTGTTTCTGGAAAAGAGTTCTACATTGCACTACACAAAATTTTAGGTATGTTCGCTGCTGCGCCCTTGACCTCAAAATCCATTTTTTCGTTCTTAGCAAATTTCTCTACCGCGCTTAACTTTTTTATGATCTCCGTATTCCTGATCAAAATTCTATCAAAGTTGCACAAAATGAATTTGAATTAAAGTTGAAAAATTATACACATAAACAGAATTATTTTCGCTCTTATTGTGGATGCACGAAGAGTTTGAACGTTGGTGTCACATATTTTCAATATCCGATTTCGAGACTGCTCCGGGTACCCCTACTGATGACGCATTTATTTACCATCGTACAGAAAATATTAAATATTTGTAAAATATTTTTTGCTTTTATTATTTCTTAATGTATGTCAAACGTATATGCAATTTTTCACCGAAAGACGTTCATTAGAAAGCAAAATATACACAATGTCTCAATAATTTTCGAACAGCCCTCGTATAAGTAGTTATTTATAGTAGTTGATAGAAAAGTTTTTATTCCAACTTTCTTCTTTAGCAAATGGTCAATCAGAGTTCTGTAGTTCTTTAAAACTTCAGTTTAACATATATCAGAACTTGTTTCTGTATCTTTTTAAAATCTGGAAGAATGAAGTCTTCTTGCTTTCATATTTACATTTCCAATAGCTTTCTCTTTAGAATCCTTGAACATGTGAAAATATCTTACTTCATACTCTCATGAATTGGTATGTGTGAGCGTGTATATCAATTTCAAACATTACATTATGATACATTACTTCACGCCCAAGCTATTGTGCAAATGTTTTTTGTTTGTAAAAGAACGGCTACAGGACATAATTTGTTGCAACTCATCAAATAAATTCTACTAAAATGGTGGAAAACAAAATATGATATGAAATTTCGAAAAGTTCACATGGTACAATACTTCAGGTCCGCACACCAAGCAAGAAAGGCTAAGGTGTTTTTCTGAAATATGCAAACCTGAAGTGTTATAGTTTGTGTCCTCGTGAATTTTTTCATTCATTTCATGAATCGTGTTATGAATTTACTTTTGGATGAAGGCTGTTTAAGTCCTTTTGTTGTACGAGACATAGCTGAAGATATTAAAATTAAAATGCCCGACTTCTTGTACGCTGTGATTGTATATTTGTGTAGATCTCTGTCCTCCTGGAACGTATTCATCAGCAGGCATTCAACCGTGTGTAGACTGTCCATTTCATCGCTACAAAAGTTTTGCAGGACCAGGAAACTGTACAGAATGTCCAGGGAATTGGATAACTCTGACGAATGGCAGTAAGAGCTTTTTTGACTGTCGTGGTACGTATAAGTAGTATTTGTGTAGTTTTCCCTTTGAAATGCTAACTTAAGTCTGTTTTTTTTCAAAGGTAGAGTAAATCAGATTTCATACATCAGTCTGGAAAATAAGACTATAATCGTGTATTTTGCAGCCCCCTGTTCAGCTGGAAGGTATTCCTCAACAGGCTATGAGCCGTGTGGAAACTGTCCCTATCATACCTACAAAGCTGATGCAGGAGCCGGAAACTGTACAGAATGTCCAGACAATCTGAAGACTCTGGGATCAGGCAGGACCAGTTCTGATGACTGCCTTGGTACATACGAGGGCTGTTCGGAAATTATTGAGATAATTATATTAATTTTACTCCATAAAGGACGGAGATAATTTCAGGAAAATTCATCAACATTTTATAAAGAACGAATAAAACACTTAAGCAAAATTTCTAATTTCTGTGATAATAAGAAAGTTTCGGTGAAATAATAAACATGCATATGTCTATCGACCCGGAGCAGCATCACTACGTCTTTTTAACGTCACGTCAGCCAGTAATGGTTTCGCATGCAAAACGATCGGGAAGCGTTTAATCTTTACCCTTCTTTGTTATTACATATAACAGTACAAAAATCAAACAATCTCTTTTCTTAAACTATTCCTTAAAAATGTTTGCCGTTTGCTACCCGAGTGTAAAATTTTCATTTGTCGGGAAAGATGACTTAAAATCATGCAGTGCCGATTTATGCAACACGGGTCAACGATATTAATACCGTAATGATATTAATACCGTACGTAATAACTGATGGTCGTACGGAGCTTTTGATTTTACTCTGGTTGAATTAATTCAAAGAAAAAATGTATACCAATGAAATAACAAATCCTAACACATTATTTTTTCTTGAAGTTATTATTTTAGCAGGTCGTTGTTTCTGGAAAAGAGTTCTACATTGCACTACACAAAATTTTAGGTATGTTCGCTGCTGCGCCCTTGACCTCAAAATCCATTTTTTCGTTCTTAGCAAATTTCTCTACCGCGCTTAACTTTTTTATGATCTCCGTATTCCTGATCAAAATTCTATCAAAGTTGCACAAAATGAATTTGAATTAAAGTTGAAAAATTATACACATAAACAGAATTATTTTCGCTCTTATTGTGGATGCACGAAGAGTTTGAACGTTGGTGTCACATATTTTCAATATCCGATTTCGAGACTGCTCCGGGTACCCCTACTGATGACGCATTTATTTACCATCGTACAGAAAATATTAAATATTTGTAAAATATTTTTTGCTTTTATTATTTCTTAATGTATGTCAAACGTATATGCAATTTTTCACCGAAAGACGTTCATTAGAAAGCAAAATATACACAATGTCTCAATAATTTTCGAACAGCCCTCGTATAAGTAGTTATTTATAGTAGTTGATAGAAAAGTTTTTATTCCAACTTTCTTCTTTAGCAAATGGTCAATCAGAGTTCTGTAGTTCTTTAAAACTTCAGTTTAACATATATCAGAACTTGTTTCTGTATCTTTTTAAAATCTGGAAGAATGAAGTCTTCTTGCTTTCATATTTACATTTCCAATAGCTTTCTCTTTAGAATCCTTGAACATGTGAAAATATCTTACTTCATACTCTCATGAATTGGTATGTGTGAGCGTGTATATCAATTTCAAACATTACATTATGATACATTACTTCACGCCCAAGCTATTGTGCAAATGTTTTTTGTTTGTAAAAGAACGGCTACAGGACATAATTTGTTGCAACTCATCAAATAAATTCTACTAAAATGGTGGAAAACAAAATATGATATGAAATTTCGAAAAGTTCACATGGTACAATACTTCAGGTCCGCACACCAAGCAAGAAAGGCTAAGGTGTTTTTCTGAAATATGCAAACCTGAAGTGTTATAGTTTGTGTCCTCGTGAATTTTTTCATTCATTTCATGAATCGTGTTATGAATTTACTTTTGGATGAAGGCTGTTTAAGTCCTTTTGTTGTACGAGACATAGCTGAAGATATTAAAATTAAAATGCCCGACTTCTTGTACGCTGTGATTGTATATTTGTGTAGATCTCTGTCCTCCTGGAACGTATTCATCAGCAGGCATTCAACCGTGTGTAGACTGTCCATTTCATCGCTACAAAAGTTTTGCAGGACCAGGAAACTGTACAGAATGTCCAGGGAATTGGATAACTCTGACGAATGGCAGTAAGAGCTTTTTTGACTGTCGTGGTACGTATAAGTAGTATTTGTGTAGTTTTCCCTTTGAAATGCTAACTTAAGTCTGTTTTTTTTTCAAAGGTAGAGTAAATCAGATTTCATACATCAGTCTGGAAAATAAGACTATAATCGTGTATTTTGCAGCCCCCTGTTCAGCTGGAAGGTATTCCTCAACAGGCTATGAGCCGTGTGGAAACTGTCCCTATCATACCTACAAAGCTGATGCAGGAGCCGGAAACTGTACAGAATGTCCAGACAATCTGAAGACTCTGGGATCAGGCAGGACCAGTTCTGATGACTGCCTTGGTACATACGAGGGCTGTTCGGAAATTATTGAGATAATTATATTAATTTTACTCCATAAAGGACGGAGATAATGGAAAATTCATCAACATTTTATAAAGAACGAATAAAACACTTAAGCAAAATTTCTAATTTCTGTGATAATAAGAAAGTTTCGGTGAAATAATAAACATGCATATGTCTATCGACCCGGAGCAGCATCACTACGTCTTTTTAACGTCACGTCAGCCAGTAATGGTTTCGCATGCAAAACGATCGGGAAGCGTTTAATCTTTACCCTTCTTTGTTATTACATATAACAGTACAAAAATCAAACAATCTCTTTTCTTAAACTATTCCTTAAAAATGTTTGCCGTTTGCTACCCGAGTGTAAAATTTTCATTTGTCGGGAAAGATGACTTAAAATCATGCAGTGCCGATTTATGCAACACGGGTCAACGATATTAATACCGTAATGATATTAATACCGTACGTAATAACTGATGGTCGTACGGAGCTTTTGATTTTACTCTGGTTGAATTAATTCAAAGAAAA